CCCTCCTTATAGGACGAGTGCCTCTTAAATAAGATTTCCAGACAACCCCCCCCTTAAACACACACGCCCACTCCCTCCCCAAGAAGGATTTTTTTGGGGGGGGACACACAAAAACGAGTCCTATGCTTTGCACCCCTTCCTGACAAGACCCCCATTGCTTTTGAAACCAAAAAGCCATATATTTCTATTTCTAGGCAGTGACTGCCCCATGCGACGAGTGCCTCTTAAATAAGATTTCCAGACAACCCCCCCCTTAAACACACACGCCCACTCCCTCCCCAAGAAGGATTTTTTTGGGGGGGGACACACAAAAACGAGTCCTATGCTTTGCACCCCTTCCTGACAAGACCCCCATTGCTTTTGAAACCAAAAAGCCATATATTTCTATTTCTAGGCAGTGACTGCCCCATGCTGCTGCTGCTTCTTTTTTTTTGCAGCCCTTATGCAAGCTCCTTTTCGCACCAGACAAGCCCCATCATCCCCCTGCCAGAAGGCTGCCCCTTGCAGCCTGTGTAGATCCTTGGTTATAGCCCCCCATCATCCTTCCCCCATTGTCTGCCAGCCAGCCACCCTTGAGTGGTAACCCCTCCCGCCATCACGGCCATGCTTTGCCAGAGTGTTGCGGAGGGGGTGGACTACAACCCCCATCATGGCCCCGGAGGCACCCTCTTCCAGCATCCCCACCCCCTTTCCAACCAAACTGGCCACCTCTAGGTGCAGGGGGCTGCTGTCTCTCATCATCTCAGCCAGGAGGCTGAAGACATCGTAACGGCACGGGGATGATGGGGGTTGTTATTGAACACATCTGGAAAGTCTCAGATGGGGGGGCTGGGACAGCCTCTGCTTTGCAAGACCTCAAGGTCTTCTCCTTGGTATTCGTAGAATCCCGGATCAACGGAGAGAAGAACAGCAGCATGTGGCTTCTCAAGACCCTGGAGAGGACTGGCCATCCATGCAGAAGCCGTGACCTTCCAGATTTTGCTGGACTGCAGGTCAGTGGCCCCATCCATTGTCTTCGGTGATATTAGCTAAGGAGCATGGGATCTGCAGTCCGGAAACTTCTGGAGTACCCCAATCCCTCACCCAAAGGGGGAAAAAAGACTCAGTAGAAGACACCTTCAGGGGGAGGTCAATAGCGTGCTTGATTTGGAGGTGGTCCGGGGCCCCTATTTTGAATGCTCAAGGTCCCTGGGTTTCAGCATCTGTACTGAAAAGGGTCTTAGATAGATGGGTTAAGAAATGCGTGCCTGCTCGTCAGATACAAGGCAGCTGTCTCCAGCCTGCAAAACCCTGCAAGCTGTCTTCATGCATTGCCTCCCCCCTCTGATCTACTCATTGTTTTCCTGGTGCGGGCAGAATTTATTCCCTCTTAGGTACACCCTGCACCAAAATCCAGGTTGACTGTCACTTCCCTACAGATGCCAGCGATAGATTCGAGAGTTGCAATCTGTAAAATCTGTTTAACTCTAGGTTGGTTGGTTTTTAATGTTCCAATATGTTGTACTTCTGGGTGTTGCAATATTTGCCTTTTAAAAGTCAGCTGCTTTGGATCCCTTTCTGGGGAAGTGTAAGTTGGAGGAATGAATCGATATTTTTGAATGGTGAAATGTGGTTCTTATGACAGATCCGGTTATTGTCCGAGTAGAGAGTTGCTTTAAAATTGACAGTGGTTTGCGGAAATCTTAGGAAGGGAGTTTTAATCAGCTGCAAGGAAAACTCTGGTCAGTTTCATTTTTCCGAAATGTGGTTTTGCTGTTGTTGTTTGTTCCTTTTTGGTTGATGTTTTATTTTGTTTTTTGTTTCTTTGTTTTTTGGGGGGGTTGATTGGTTTGGTAAAACTTAACTTTTTTTCCCCCTGTCCTGAATATTTAGCTGGCTAATTTTTGGTACGTTTGTCCAAAACTGAACTCGACTAAAATTCTTCCTCCTTTTCACGGATCAGATCTACCAGGTATTGCTAGCGTGGAAAATATTCTCTTGAGCACTCCTGCCCTGTTAAAAGAGGAGGAGACTCGAGATATTAGGCAACCCTAATTTAGCACCAACGTGGCCGAAGACCTGGGGATTCAAACCCAGAATGTTAGCTGTTATGCACTCAAAGTTCTTGGCCCGCAGAGACGAATCTGGCAGTTTTGGTTTCTCTCCAGCATTTTAAATGTGACATGCTTTCCCTCCCTTGTATGAAGACATTCACAAATTTTGGGACATGCTTATCCAAATGGAATGGAACCAAAATTCTCACCTGTTTCTGTCTGCGGCCAGAACCTTTTAATCTAAAAATGGGCAACTTGTGGCCTTCCATGTGCTAGTCAAATTCAATCCCCAGTAGCTATTCCCAGCCTAACCATTACAGTGATGCCTCGCTAGATGATGATTGGTTGGTTTGGTAAAACTTAACTTTTTTCCCCTGTCCTGAATATTTAGCTGGCAGTGGTGCCTCGCTAGACGATGATAATCTGTTCCACTGAAATCGCTGTCTAGCGAAATCATTGTCTAGCGAAAAGCAAATCGTCGTCTAGCGAAAATCGGTTTGCGAAGCAGGGGCCAAACATTGTCCAGCGAAATTCCCCCATAGGAATCACTGTTTTGCGAATCGCTATAGCGATCGCAAAAAGTCAGTATCTAGCGAAAAAGCTGTTATGCGGGGTAACTCTCTAGCGAGGCACCACTGTAGTGAGGAACGGTGTGATTTGCACCTCCAGCAAAGTCTGGATGACTGCAGTCTTTCCTTAGTCAGATTACACTGTATTTATTCCCCTTCTCTGTATTGTTAATAGGGATGCTGCCAACAAGACATTTTATCAGTGAAGTGTTTGTTTTGTTCTTAACTAAGGCTCTGGATTCTGAGTGTGGTGTCGTGGAAAAAGGGAGAGGCTAAGACTCTGGAGAACAGGGTTTGAATCCCCACTTGACCGCAGAGACTCCCTGGGGGGGTGGCGTTGGTAAAATCACTCCTTAAATACCTCATTTATCTTGAAAGCCTTATCAGGGTTGGTATAAGTTGGTTCTGACTTCACAGCGCAGAACACACACAAGGGTGCAATCCAGTTGTGCAACTTTACACAACAATCCAGTTGTGCAACTACAGTCCAGTTGTGCAACTTTACACATGGAGTTGGGAGGGGCCTATAAGGCCATCGAGTCCAACCCCCAACTCAGGGCAGGAATCCAAATCAGACCAGATCTGTAGAATCATGGAATAAGGCTGATGAGGACATCATCGGTCACTGCAATTTTTCAGAAATTGAACATTTCAGATTTCCACCCCCCACGAACCGAGATCTCAAGGGCACCTGTGAGACCCCATTTTATCACCAAGAAGCCATTATGGGCTGTGAGATGATGGAAGGTATTTAATCCGCAGAGACTCCCTGGGGGGGTGGTGGTGGCACTGGTAAAATCGCTCCTTAAATACCTCACTTATCTTGAAAGCCTTATCAGGGTTGGTATAAGTTGGTTCTGACTTGACAGCGCAGAACACACACAAGGGTGCAATCCAGTTGTGCAACTTTACACAACAATCCAGTTGTGCAACTACAGTCCAGTTGTGCAACTTTACACATGGAGTTGGGAGGGGCCTATAAGGCCATCGAGCCCAACCCCCGACTCAGGGCAGGAATCCAAATCAGACCAGATCTGTAAAATCATGGAATAAGGCTGATGAGGATATCATCAGTCATTGCCATTTTTCAGAAATTGAACATTTCAGATTTCCACCCCCCATGAACCGAGATCTCAAGGGCACCTGTGAGACCCCATTTTATCACCAAGAAGCCATTATGGGCTGTGAGATGATGGAAGGTATTTAATTTCCTAACGTTGGCACCGCCAGGATGATTTGACTGTTGCTGGCAATTCAACCACTAAGTGTCATCCTATTAGATGAGAGTAGTTTCCATACATTAAAAAATCCTCGGATTTTCCCCCCCCTCAACCCTGTTTTATAACAGACCCCCATTCCCTTCCTTCCAGTATTCACGTCTTCTTTCCCCTCCAACCTCCAGATTTTGTATTTCTTTAAAATATTCTACCCCCTTTTCTCCTAAAAAAAAAAGGACCGAAGGCAGTTTACATCATTAAAAACACAATATTAACAGTGGAAAACAGTAAGTTATTCACATATTTTAAAAGAATTAAATGAACACTATATTTAAAATGTTAGGTAACATAATTACCAAAACAAATTTGAAAACAGCAAAAAAAATTTGCTCGTTCCCATTCTGTATCTCTTCAGTGACTTCTCTCTTGGCCTTGGGACTTCTGGTGCAGGAGAAAATCCGTGACATTTTGTCGAAACTTTAGCGGCAGGAGATGCTCTGTTTTGACACATAAAAACCTTATCTCCCTCATTTTTTTGTTCTGCCTATTCTGACCTGTTATAGATGTCATGCATTGCAAAGGAATGGAAATGGAGACCCAGTACAGAAGCAGTCTTTATAAGGTCAAAGGTGTCTGTGTATCTACAGCTAGGTAGGGCTTACATACTGCCTGGCTTCAGAGGAGTGGAAATATTGGCACGCTCTGTTTATAGGCATCCACATATCCCCACGGCGTTCCTGAAATCCGCAATGAAATATCTCTTGACCCGGGTGGAGGACGCAAGTGTGTGGTTGCAGTAAATGTATTTTTGCCAACTTTTGCCCACAAGATGGGTAGTAGAATCATAGAATAATTGAATCGGAAGGCGCCTCTACTTTCATTGAATGCAGTCCCCTGCAAAGGGCAGGAATCCAAATCAAAGCAGGTCTGACAGAGGGTTGCCCAATTTTCTCTTGAACGCCTCCAGCGTTGGAGTGCTCACTACCTCTCAAGGCCATGGGTTCTGTTGTCATACTGTTCTAACAGTTAAGAAGTTTTTCCTGCTAGTAGCTTCCTGTCTCTTGAGCCCATGAGGACGTGGTCTGCACTCTAGGGTGATTGAGAATAGAAAGGACAGCCTTTCAAGTGTTTGAAAAGTGGTATTTTGTCTCTCCCCTTAGTCTTCTTTTCTCAAGGCTAGGCATGCCCAGTTCTTGCAGTCTTTCCCTCCTAGGGCTTGGTTTCCAGTCCCCTGATCATCCTTGTCGCCCTCCTCTGAAGTTGCTCCAGTTTGTTAGTATCTTTCTTAAAGTGTGACGTCCAGAACTGGAGACAGTACTCTCAATAAGGCCTAACCAGTGCTGAATAGAGGCAGACTAGCCCTTCATGCTACTGCCTGTTTTATTTTTTAAAACAACATAAACAATAATAAAGAAATTTAAATAAACGATAATACATCTTAGAATCCTAGAATAACTGAGTTGGGGGCCTCTAAGGCCATCAAGACCAACCCTGTGCTCAGTGCCCGATTCGAAGTCTAGGTTGATCTGACCGACGGTTGTCCAGTTTTCTCTTGAAGGCCTCCAGCGTTGGCGCGCTCGCCACCTCTCGAGATCCCGGGTTCCGTCGTCGTACTGCTCTAACCGACGATAATACATCTTAGAATCCTAGAATAACTGAGTTGGGGGCCTCTAAGGCCATCAAGACCAACCCTGTGCTCAGTGCCCGATTCGAAGTCTAGGTTGATCTGACCGACGGTTGTCCAGTTTTCTCTTGAAGGCCTCCAGCGTTGGCGCGCTCGCCACCTCTCGAGATCCCGGGTTCCGTCGTCGTACTGCTCTAACCGTTAGGATGTTGTGCATTCCAATTGGTTTCCCCCCCCCCGCATGACGACGATTTCACTTAACCGATTTTAACGGAGCGGATTAGCGTCGTCATGCAGGGCACCACGGTACAGAATATTGTAGCCCCATCTCTGATGTTTGTGTATATTTCTAATTACTGTGTGAATAATATATTTTTTTCGGCCTTTTGTATATCATAAACATAAGGAATAATATTAGCATGTAAGTATGCAAGCCACTTAGTATATTTAAAGCAGTATATGAATAAATAAATTCTCAATAGGCTGGTTTCTCCCACATTCTGTATTATTTCCTGAGGAACCTGGAAATGTTGCATTTTTACTTACGGC